TGGCCATTCTTGCTTCCAAGGAGCATTCTGGCTGCACTTCCTCCAGGACAGATCTGTTAGTTCTTTTAGCAATCCACGGTACTTTCAGCATTCTTCGCCAGCACCACAACTCAAAAGCATCAACTCTTCTTCGGTCTTCCTTATTCATTGTCCAGCTCTCACATGCATACCAGGTGATTGGAAATATCATGGCTTGTGTCAGGCACACCTTAGTCCTCAATGAGATATCCTTGCTCCTCAGCACTTGAAACAGTTCCTTCGCAGTTGACTTTCCCAATGCTACACGTCATTGGCATCGATTGTAGAACCAAGCAACGTGAATTCCTTGACAACCTCAATCTTCTCTCCATTTATTGTGATGCTGCTCATTGGTCCAGTTGTGAGGATTTTTGTTTTCTTTATGTTGAGATGTAATCCATACTGCAGACTGTATTCTCCAACCTTCATCAGTAGGTGCCTTAAGTCATCCTCACTTTCAGCAAGCAAAATTGTATTGTCTGCATATCTCAGGTTGTTAATGATTCTTCCTCCAAACCTGATACCACGTTTTTCTTCATATAGTCCAGCTTCTCGGATTATTTGCTCAGCATATAGATTGAATAAGTGTGGAGAAAGAATACAGCCCTGACGCACTCCCTTCTTGATTTTAAACCATGTAGTGTCCCCTTGTTCTGTTCGAACGACAGCCTCCTGGTCAAGGTACAGATTCCTCATGAGTACTACTTACACTAGACAAAGTGGTAAAAGAGTGAGATGAGCTCAGGGTTGCTGAGTCACAGCTTAAGCGACAGCTTAAGCGCCGCATAAAAGACCTCACTGTCTCCAGTTGTGCTCTGAAAGAAAGGCTTATTTCTTCTAGTAACAGAGCTGATATTGCTGAAAACCAAACCGAGAGTCATATTGTAAGGGTGACTGAATTACAATGCCAGTTAAATTACCAACCCAGAATAGTGTATGAAGTTAAAGTGAGGGCATTGATTGGGAAAAAAAATGGGACCCTGAAACCTGGAATGGGGACATATGGGCAGATAGTCAGGAAGATCAGGATGTAGAGCCTGTAAATTCTGTTGAATCCCTCCCATCTGAAGGGATTACTGTAAAACCATTATCCTCTCCTCCTCAGTTTGATGGGATTAGTGCAACTATTCCTGCTGGGTCATTGCCTGAGGCAGAAGCCATGGAAGACATTGCTGAATGTTCTCCAGGAGGCTGTATATGCTCTAAACCAGCATCCAAGATACAGTTCTGTTTCTCCAATAGCCAGGATTCACGGGTCCAGGAACCAAGGGGTGGAAACGGGAGTGGTACCACTCACTATTACCCCTAGTGACCCACTCAAAAAATTTTTGCTTCCTGTCCCTGCTGCCTTATGCTCTGTGGGTCTGGAGATCTTAGTCCCAAAGGGAGGAACACTCCCACCTGGAGACACAATACTGAGTGCATTAACTGGAAATTAAGAATGCCACCTGGCCATTGTGGCTTCCTCATGCCTCTGGATCAACAGACAAAGAAGGGCATTACTGTGCTATCTGGTGTGATAGATCCTGATTACCAAGGGAAATTGGGTTGGCTTTACATAATGGAGGTAAAGAAGAATATATCTGGGATACAGGAGATTCTTTAGGACATCTCTTGTACTACCATGCCCCGTGATTAAAGTCAATGGAAAATTACAGCAACCCAATTCTTATATGACTGCTAATGACCCAGACCCTTCAGGAATAAAGGTTTGGGTCACCCCACCAGGCGAAGAACCATGACTAGCTGAAGTGCTGCTGAGGGCAAGGGAAATACAGAATGGGTGGTGGAAGAAGGTATTTCTGAATATCAGCTACGACCACGTGACCAGTTGCAGAAATGAAGACTGTGACTATTATATTTCTTCATTGTATATGTGCATCAAATATTTTTGTTTCCCTTATGAACTGTGAAATATAAATAAGGTAATGCAATTCAGTTGTACGTGTGTTAGCATATCATGTTAGGTGCAAATATGACTTTATAATTGTCCTTATTTGGAGATTATATATGGTTAAGAAGATATGCACAACTGCCAAGTTGACAAGGGGTGGACTATGATAGTTGGAGCTGTGTGTCAACTTGGCTGGACCACAATTTTGTGTGGTTTAACAATTGTGATGTGGTTATTCCAGTGATGGGATGAGATGTATATGTTTTGAGCAGCCAATCTGTTTAAAGGGAGTTTCCCTAGGGGTGTGGCCTGCTTCCAGTATATCTATGGACATCCTGGGAAAAGAGACACTGTTCTGTGGATCGGGATTCTGTTGTGCTGCCTACAACTGTCCATGAGTGAACAATCTACCGTTCGGCCTGGAGATCCTGGATTTGTCATTCGTTGCAGTCAACAGCCAGTGTACTGCCTGCCAACCTTGAGCTCCTCAGCCCCTGCGGCTGCGTGAGTCGGGAAAAGCCTCCAGCTTGATGTTTGACCCAAGAACTTTGGACTTGCTGCTTCTGTAAGAGTGTGAGGCATTTTCCTAAGATAAATTTCTCTTTCTCTCTCTACATAAGCTTTACTGGTTTTGTTTCTCTGGAGAACCCAAGTCTAACACAGCCCCTCACTGAAAATCACAGCGTTTTAACAGACTAGCAGGCATGATTAAAGTAGACATTCATCATAGTGACTAACTTGCTATTTTTCCCTCCCTTTTGCTTTCTTTTAAGTAAACAGAATAGCCAGCCTCTTTACAGACGCTGAGTTCTTTAGGTTTGTTATTTTCAATTACACATTCTTCTAAGCATAACCTTCTCCCACGACTGGTTTCGGCTGAGAACCGCAGCCTATGAAGCAAGACGACTCTGGGAAGAGGGATGCTGAGTCGGGAGTAGCCAGGGAAGACGGGAACAAAGACATTGCGGGCAGTCCAATGGATGTTCAGGCCCCGTCCCATCTCCCTATGTAATGATGCTGACCCCTTTGCTTGAGGAAACAGACATTTTAGAGAAGTGGTTCTCTCTGTCTCCTTGGGTCTCCATACTCAGGAAGTCCCTTTGCTTTCAGTCTTCAGCCTTCTGCCATCATCGGCTCTTCCTGACGGGGTCAGGATGTTGTTCCTACAACACTTTCCAGCTTCAAAGCCAGGAACGTTGCAGCTCTGTGCTTCTCTTCTATGGGCGTATCTCCTTCCAACTCTCTATGTTTCCTCCTTCACTTTCAAGTCCCCTTGTGATTACAGTAAAGAGCTCTGGTGGCACAGTGCCTTAGGCATTTGTTTGCTAACCAGAAAGTTGGCAGTGCAAATCCACTAGCCACTCTGCGGGCGGAAGATGGGGCAGTCTACTTCCGTAAAGATTTCCCGCCTCGGAAACCCACTGGGGGTTGCTATGAGTCAGAATCGACTTGATGGCAGTGAGTTTTTTTTTTTGTGTGTGTGTGTGATTACATTGACCCAGAATAATCTCTTTATTTTAAAGTCAGCCGATTAGCAAATTTAATCCACCTGTAACTTAAATTCCCTGTTGCCATGTGACCTAACATAGTCACAGGGTCCCGGGATTAGGAAGAGGGGTAGACCTCAGGAGAAGCAGCCAGAGCGGGAGAAAAGCCCACAGGAGCGTGAAATATCTCAGAAGCCTGAAGAAGAGCCAGTTCCTAGGAGGGAGTGCTCCCCGGTTTACACCGTTGAGAGGTCAAGCAGCATAAGAACTGGAAAACATCCCTTGGATTTAGCATCCTGGAGACACCAGGACGTGTTTTGGGGAGCATTAGGGACAGAAGCTAGCTTATGATGCACCAAGCCTAGCAAAGGAGAAGTGAGGAAGTACAAGCAGTGAGGGAACGTAAATATTACAAACTTGACCGTGAAGGGAGGACAGGGATGGCAGGGTGGGAGCTAGTGGAGGAAAGGCGAGTGAAAGATTGTGTTTCTCAGGTGGGAGAGAGAAGCAGGTCGTAGATGGGGCTGTCTGGGCAGGGAAGAGTTCTGCCCAGGACGTTTGGAGGGGGCTTCGGTTTTGCCAGGCAGGTGCCACAACAGGGCAGAGGGATGGGGAGTTTCGGATGGCTGAAGGGATGGAACTGGGAATTTGACGGAGGGAGGAGCGGTTGGCAGGAGGCACTGGTAGATGTATTGAGAGGAAGCAGTAAGTGCAAAGCTGGGGGTGCTAATAAGACTCAGAAAGCTAGGAGGCTATAGTCCGAATGGCATCTGAAGCATTCATTTCAGGGGAAATGCTTGGTTCCTGGTTGGGATGCAGTATCTGCAGGATTCCTGGCTGTTGCAATGCTTAGAACAGGACTCGGCACAGGGGAAGCGCTACATACTGTTATGGCGACTCCATGTGGTTTCAGAGTAGAACTTTTCTTCCCAGAGCCTAGGGATGCATTCCAACTGCCAGCCGCACCACCCAGGGACTTGGCATACTGTTACCTGTTAAGAAATCCGTTGCCGTGGAGCCGATTCCAACTATGCCACCAGAACTCCTAACATCAGAATTCCAAACCAAACTCACTTGCAGTGGAGTCGGATCCGACTCATAGCGACCCCTCCTTGGGTTTCCCATGCGGTATCACTACGGAAGCAGATTGTCCAACCTTCCTTCCGAGGAGTGACTGGTGGGTTTGAACCGCCGGCCTTCGGGTTAGCAGTCAAATGCCTTAGGCACTACGCCACCAGTGCTCCCATCTCCTAACATAGCGTTCATATAATTTTAAAAACTCCTTAGACGGAGACTCCATTGCCGTTGATGACTTGCAGCTGTTCCGACTACAACTCCCGTCTTACCCAGCAAGTCGCCTAGCCCAGGAGTATCTACGTCCTTTAATCCATTGGAGCAGTCCCTACGTTCCTCGCTGTTTTTAACGCACCCTCACAACACATCACATCAAGTCCTAGGAACAACCAATTGGATCAGGAAGTACGGGCTCACGTCAGCCAATCACCCAGCCAGGAGGGCGGGAGAGGGCGTGGCCGTGTCCCGCCCCGCCCCTGCCCCGTGGCTGGTTCCTTTGGGTAAGCTCCTTCGGCTGGACGGAAAACATGGGTGCCACCTGGGGGAGCCCAGGGTGGGGGAGGTTCGCGCTCTGCCTCGCGGGCCTTGTGCTATCTCTCTACGCGCTGCACGTGAAGGCGGCGCACGCCCGGGACAAGGATTACCGCGCGCTCTGCGACGTGGGCACCTCCATTAGCTGTTCGCGCGTCTTCTCCTCCAGGTGCGCGCCCGGGTGGGAGGCGTGAGAAGCCGCGGAGCAGGCCGCCTGGGGGAGTGGTGCATGGGGACCAGGCGGGGTTAACGGCCTGGCACAATACAGAAGGAGCAGTGGGCGACTCGCCAGCAGCTCAGAGGTTTGGGGGTATCCAGGGCAAAGAGACTCTCACCCCGAATCCCAGTCTCTGATAACTCTGTAAAGCTGAATCGACCGTTACTCCAGCCTGGCCGTCTTGTGAATTACTTAAGGAAAGGTGAGCTCTGGTGGCATAGTGCCCAAGGCATTTCACTGCTAACCAGAAGGCTGGCGGTTCAAACCCACCAGCCATTCCTCGGAAGGAAGATAGGGCAATCTACTGCCGTAGAGATGCCGCGTCGAAAACCCAAGGAGTGGTCGCTGTGACCACGGCAGTGAGTTTGGTTTGGTTTGAGGACGAAAAGAGGGGCTTATGGAGAATCCATGGCCAGTCCTGGCCTGGAGATAGGGGAGGATGGGAACAGTGACATGGAGGCCTGACGTGTCCAAAGGGATGGACCCCAAGAGGTCAGTGACCCTTGGACTCACAGTGGGGGTGGAGAGAGACAGCCCAAGCAATTGCTTGTTAACCAGCCCTCCAGGACACTAAGCTGACATCCCTAACCTGGCCCTCCCCTCCCCAGGTGGGGTCGGGGCTTTGGGCTGGTGGAGCCCGTGCTGGGCCCTGACAGTGTCCTCAATCAGTCCAACAGCATTTTCGGCTGCATCTTCTACACACTACAGCTGTTGCTAGGTGAGTGGGCCTGCCCTGGCCCCGCCCCTTCCCTCCTGGCCAATCCAGCCCCTTCCCTGGAGTTTTGGTGACCCAGTTTTGGTGGGGACATGGAGAGAGCCAGCAGGAGTCTTTCACTTGGTTTAAGTACTGTCATACTCAGAAGGGCCCTTAATGACTTCCTGGGATCCCAGTTTTTGGGGAAAGACTCAGAAATTCCTTTGGGTCCCGGGGATCACTGAGCAGTTAGGGGAGCCAAGGCCATGGAGGGGCTTGTCAGAGTCTCCTGTTTTTAAAGACCCTTCCCCCAAAGTCCCTGCTGTCTGGGGGGTGGCACCAGGAAGTCATGGCAGCCTTCTGGAGGAGGCCAATTGCTGAAGCCCATGCCTGACCCTTCTCTGTCCCTCAGGCTGCCTGCGGGGCCGCTGGGCCTCCGTCCTACTGGTGCTGAGCTCCCTGCTGTCTCTCGTTGGCTCTGTCTACCTGGCTTGGATCCTCTTCTTCGTGCTGTATGATTTCTGCTTTGTTTGCATCACGACCTACGCCATCAACGTGGGCCTGACAGTGCTCAGCTTCCGAGGGGCCCAGGGACCCCAAGGCAAGGCCAAAGTGCACTGAGCCCCCACCTGAAGCCAGACTGACCTTCTCTGCTCTGCTTTGGCCCATGGACCTTTCCCAAGAGGGCCACGTCTGGGTCCCTAGAAAGCCCTGCAATCTGCCCGCACCATCCCTCCACACAGGATGATGGACCAAATGTGCCAGCCTCCGTCCTCCACCCTAATGCCTCTAGTCCTGTCGTCAAGGGCTAGTCTCGAAACTTCTGCTGTTGCCCAGGGAGGGGAGGTTCTGAGCATTAAAATTTCTTAAATAAGCTGGCCATGTCTACTAGGGTCCGTTTGTCTACCAGGGTCCCCAGTGTTGGGCCACCCCCCACCTTGCCTTCTCTGATGCTGGGAAGGATGTGAGTCAGAGGGAGAGTGTCTGGGAAGGTTGTCTGGTCCCATCAGTAGTATGTGGAGTCAGCAAAGCCTGGGGCACAATTGGCCCCCACCCCTAGGAAACAAGCTGACAGCTTGTCCCTACTGCCCACGGAAGCCAGGCCTCGCGTCCTGGGAAAGCCAGGCACACACCTGTGAAGCCAAGCTGCCCTTCTGGTTCTATACATATTTGCTGGAAAGTTCTTCCTGTAGCCTAACCTTAACCCCACCAGCTGCCTGAGGTAGCACTGCAGGCCAGTCTTGGTAGCTACGGTGGGATAGGGGCTAGGTGGTGAGGATTTTTTGTTTTTCCTAATATGCCTTGAAGGAGCTTGGTGGTGTAGTGGTGAAGGCATTTGGCTGCTAACCAAAAAGTCAGTGGTTCGGACCCGTCACGCGCTCCGAAGAGGAAAGATGAGGCAATCTGCCCCTAGATTTACTGCCTTAGAAACCCAATGGGGGCAGGGGGGTCTCTCTGAGTTGGAATCTACTAGATGGCACTGAGTTTTAATGTATAATAAGCATTTGCTCACATGCCAGTCATTGTAAGGATTTAACATGTATTGAGTCATGTTATCCCTATTTTGTATAAGGAGTCCAAGGTACAGAGAGGCTAGGTAACTTGCCTGAGACCACACAGCTAGTGCTGGGGAGGAGGGGGGTTGAGGAAGCGTTTCGCTCTGCCCACAGCTGCTTCTGTGTTGGCCTGAGTTAAAAACCAAACCCAACCCACTGCCACCCAGTCGATTCCAACTCCCAGTGACCCCCATTGGGTTTCTGAGGCAGTAAATCTTTACGGAAGTAGATTGCCCCATCTTCCTTCCTCAGAGTGGCTGCTGGTTTTGAACTGTCAACTTTCTGGTTAGCAGTCAAATGCCTTAGACCATGGGCCACCAGCGCTCCTTTGGCCTGAGTTTTTTTTTTAAAAAACAACTCACTGCCGGTCGTTTCCAAGTCATAGTGAGTCCTCTGGGTTTTCTAAGCAGTGTCTCTACAGATGTAGATTGCCCAGTCTTCCTTTGAGGAGTGGCTGGGGGCAGCCAAATGCCTCAGGCACTACACCACCAGAGAGGTCAGATAAAAAGGATGCACCGTCAGTGTTCTTTTCGGACTGAGAGTCTTCCAGTCTCAACAGGCTGAAACTGTTGCCCAGGGAGGAGGCCGGCTCGGAGAGGTATCTGCGTTCCCCAAAGCCTCACAGCCAACAAGTAGCAGAGCCCGGCCTCTCGGCACCCTGCCCGGCACACACTACCCCTGCAGGAGAGATGGGGAGAAGGTGTGTGAAGCCCTCTCACACCTGAGCCTGGGAAGCTGAAATGGAAGGCCTGCCCACTGTCCCCTTCACAACTGGTCCAGGCTGACAAAACTGAAACCTCTGCTAAGAGCTATTCTAAACATGTTCAAATTCTCACTGCCATTGAGGCAATTCCCACTCATAGCAACCCCTGTTAGATTTCCAAGGCAGTAAATCTGATCCCAGTCATGACTCACTTTTCAAAGCAGTGGGTGAGTAGATTGTGCCATCTTATTTCCGCGGAGCAGTTGGTGGGTTTGAACCGCCAGCCTTCTGGTTAGCAGTCAGATGCCTTAGGCACTAGCCACCAGAGCTCCTTTTACCTTCTACAACTGGGCTATTCAGACAAGCCACAAGCAAGTGATGGGACTGGGATTTGAACCTCTGTGACTGAGACTCAGAGAAGGGTAGCGACCAGCCCAGGGTCACACAGCCATAGCCCCAGGGCTGGGAGCTGCTGACTCCCTTCCATCCCGGGCAAAGCAACACTGACTCCTAGCCAACGAGGGGTGGAGCGGAGGTGGAGACAGGGAGAGTCCGGTCCCTCTCTCACAGCAAAGTCGCTGCTGGTGGTGGAGTGGCCCAGAGCATCATGAAGCTGAGCTGGGGACCAGGGCTCTTCATCCTGGAAGTGATGGTCCTCACAGGGGGTGAGCCAGTGTGTGGGATGCGAGGGTGGTGGGGGTGGTGTGGTGGGGCTTGGGGGCCACCTTCTGCCCGAGCAGCCCCTGCAGCTTGGTGTGTGTGAGGGGACCCACCTGTGGGCAGTCACCAGTCCTATGTGACAGTCTGCCTGTGGTCATATAATTGTGTGTGGGGAGCCAGTCTCTGTCAAAATGGGTGTGATATTCTTGGGAGCAACTCACGGCCTGTGTGGGGACGTACTTGTGTGGAGTCCTGCCTGTGTGTACGTCCGTCCTGCTGTAATTGGACCTGTCTGCCTCTACTTCTGAGTGACCTCAGGCAAGTTCCTCAGTCTCCCTGTCTTTACGTTGGTCACCTTTTGTGTCTCCAGGCTCAGATGTTCAGAGGACGAATCTGTGTGTGCCTGTGATGGGGAACGGGGAGGGCAGGGAGCTCTTTGCTAGGGTCTCTGGTGGTTTCTGGGAAGGTGGGGAGTTTGAGTTGTTAGAACAAGGGTGGGGTGAGTCTCAACTCTTTGAGGCCCTCCTCCACTTGGATGCCACGCAGGTCTGTAATCCCTCCTCTCAGGCCTCCACGGCTGAGAGGACAATTAGGCTAATGCTCTCCCCTGGCTGCCTCCCCTGACTCAGCAGCAGAGGCAGGAGTCTGGGGTTCCCAAGTCTGGGGGAGGGCTGGCCTGGGCGGGCCGACCCCCAGGCCCTATTCCTCAGGTCCAGGAGTGCTGAGCACGGCAGAGCGAAGAAAATTAATGACTGAGTCTACACTCTGAATAGGTTCCAATAAAAGGTGTTTGTCTGCCTCATATAAATATTTTCATCTTGGGAGGGGCTGGTGAGATTGCCACAGAGTCACAGGCAGGGACCTGTCCCCCCCAACCCATCCTCTCCACCTGGGCGGGTAAGGCGCCCCCACATCTCACTCATGTCTCTCTCTTCCCAGGTCTTCAGGCCACTCAGCAGGGTAAGCTCTGGGAATGTGGGCTTTCCTTGCTGGGCCTGCGATGAGGGCAGGGCAGAGGTCTGCCTGTCAGCCTGACCCACCCCTCTCCACAGCCTGTGGGCAGCGTGGCCCCGGCCCTCCCGAGCCTCAGGAGGGCAGCTCGGTGCCTGGCGAGTGGCCGTGGCTGGCCAGCGTGAGGCGGCGAGGTGTCCACATTTGCAGCGGCTCCCTGGTGGCAGATGCCTGGGTCCTCACCGCTGCCCACTGCTTTGAAAAGTGAGTCATGACCAGGGTCAGACGGGGGTTTCTGCCTTTGGAGGGAGGGTGACTCCCCAAGCCCCACCAGACTCTTTTGCTCCTAGAATAATAAAAGTACCACGTGCCAGATGGGTATTACTTAGTTGATCCAATAGCCTTTCATGGTAGCTTTAGAGAGAGAAAACGGAGCTTGAGAGAGGGAAGAATTACAGGCGACATTTGTCCTTCCTTCCATTGCCTGATGATGCACTTCCCCCCACCTCCCTTGCACTCACTGGGCCTTGTCCCTCCCCTTCCAGGATGGCGGCGACAGAACTGGACTCCTGGTCAGTTGTTCTGGGTTCTCTGCAGCAGGAGGGGCTGAGCCCAGGGGCTGAGGAGGTGGGCGTGGCTTCGCTGCAGTTGCCCAGGGCCTACAACCACTACAGCCAGGGCTCAGACCTGGCCCTGCTGCGGCTGGCCCGCCCCACAGCCCACACACCCCTCTGCCTGCCTCTACCTACCCACCGCTTCCCGTTTGGGACCGCTTGCTGGGCCACCGGCTGGGATCAAGGCAGCAACGATAGTAAGTGCTGTCCCAGACCAGAGAGGCACTGTGCTTGCCCCAGGTCACACAGCAGAGCTCCCAACTGTCTGGCTCCCAGTCTCCCTCTGCCCCCCCCCCCATCCCACCCCCAGAGCCCAGACTCCAGCCTCAGGCCTTCTCTTTTGTCAGCTCGAAGGACCCTTCGGAACTTGCGCCTGCGTCTCATCAGCCGCCCCACATGTAACTGTCTCTACAACCGACTGCACCAGCGGCTGCTGGCCAGCCCGGCTCGGCCCGGCATGCTGTGTGGGGGTGCCCAGCCCGGGGTGCAGGGGCCCTGCCAGGTCTGAGGGGCACAGGAGGGGTGGGAGTTCTGTCTTCCGCTGGGGGCTCAACCTGGGGGGGAGGATGGAAGGGCTGCAGAGGACCGTCCTGCCCAGGGCTGGGACTCAGGCATCTATTCTGGGCTCCGCTGCCCGGCTCCAGGGGGACTCTGGGGGCCCTCTGCTGTGCCGTGAACCTGGTGGACACTGGGTCCAGGCCGGGATCATCAGTTTCGCGTCAAGCTGTGCCCAGGAGGACACTCCAGCACTACTGACTGACCTGGCTGCTCACAGCTCCTGGCTGCAGGCTTGCGCTCAGGGGGCAGCCTTCCTGACCCAGAGCACAGAGACCCCTGAGATCAGTGATGAGGACAGCTGTGTAGGTATGACCAGGGGCAATGGGTGTGACATGGGATCAGTGGGGACACCCAGGCCTGCATGACAACTGGACAGTGGGTGAAGTGCCAAGAGAAACCTATCGCAGCTTGGAACAGAGAATCGATGCAGGGGCTTTTAAGGCCCCTTCCAGCCGGTGGTGTAATGGTTAAGGCATCTGGCTGCTAACCAAAAGTTAGTGGTTCAAACCCACCAGCTGCCCAACAGAAGAAAGATAAGGCAGTCTGCTTCCTTAAAGATTTACAGCCTTGGGACCCAATGTGGGGTGGGGATGGGGGTGTCACTGTGAGTTGGAATCGACTGGTGGTAGTGAGTTTGGTTTGGTTCTGGTTTTCCAGCCCTTAGGCTGGGAACAGCCTCTGAGGGATGAAGGCCATAGATGCTCTCGCCGTTGATGAGTCTGGAGTTTAAGTAGAAAGATGGCTCTCTGAGGTCTCGTGTAGGTTTTAGGGAAAGCTGTGCATTTCCAGGCAAGGTTCCCATTCAGCATTCCAGCATTAAGTGACTAACATGCAAATCTCATGCAAGGACGCTATCTTGATAGGAGAAGCACTTGTGAGCCAGGAATTCTGGGGCCTGTCCAGGTCTGGAGGGGTGCATGAGCGGGCCACTCCCACGAGGCTGGGACAGGACCATCCAGACCGTCCGGGTGAAAAGCTCGGGCCCTGGGTTTTCAGTCCTAAGCCGTCTAACTTGCCTGTGCTTACAAAGCTGGAGGTTTCCCTTCTCTGAGCTTCCATTCCCTCATCTACAAAAAGAGGCTAATAAAATTCAACTCAGGAGGATGCTGTGGGAAAGTGCTTAGGACAGTGCCTGGCATACAGTGAGAACTCAGCAGGCCAGATGACGTCATCTGTCTCTCGCAGCCTGTGGGTCTCTGAGAGGAGGCCCGTGGGTGGGAGCCCCCTCCCCATGGCCGTGGGACGCCAGGCTGCAGCACCAGGGGAAGCTGGCCTGTGGCGGAGCCCTGGTGTCCGAGGCGGTGGTGCTGGCCGCTGCGCACTGCTTCATCGGGTGAGCCCCCCGCCCCCCTCATCCGCTCCACCCACCCCTGCTGCCAGCCCAGCCGCCCACTACTGTCAACACTGCCTCCTCCCAGGCGCCAGAACCCAGAGGAATGGAGTGTAGGGCTGGGGGCTGGGCCAGAGGTACACGGCCTCAAACAGCTCACCCTGCATGGGGCCTACACCCACCCAGAAGGGGGACATGACGTGGCTCTCCTCATGCTGGCCCAGCCCGTGACACTGGGGCCCAGTCTTCGGCCCCTCTGCCTGCCCTACGCCAACCACCGCATGCCTGATGGGGAACGTGGCTGGGTCCTGGGGCTGGCCCGCCAAGGAGCAGGTATGTACGGCCGGGGCCCCCAGCAGCTGTCCCTCCAGCCTAAAGGCCACCAGGACAACTCCATCTTTTCCCTTGCCCTGTAGGCACGAGCTCCCTCCAGAAAGTGCCCGTGACCCTCCTGGGGCCCAGGGCCTGTAGCCGGCTGCACGCAGCCCCCGGGAGTGACGGCATCCCCATTCTGCCAGGGATGGTGTGTAGCAGTGTTGTGGGCGAGCTACCCCTCTGTGAGGTGAGCCCTAGGCCCAAGGCCTTACCCTTCAGACTCCTGGTATCCCTCACCCTTCAGCTCATGAAACGACCAAGTGCCAGGCTTGGCCTCCAGCCTGGCTTCTCATTTGAAACCAGGTCTGCTGCCCACTGGCCCCCAGCATGCCAGGGTCTCGGCTCCCACCCCCTTTTGCCTCCTCCCACTCCCCACAGCTGTCTAGGGGGGCACAAGGAAGAGTCGCCCAGTGTCACCTCATCCCTGACAGGGCCTGTCTGGGACACCGCTGGTGCATGAGGTGAGGGGCACATGGTTCCTGGCTGGGCTGCACAGTTTTGGAGATGCTTGCCGAGGTCCGACCAGACCTGCGGTCTTCGTGGCACTCCCGGCATACGAGGAGTGGGTCAGCAGCTTGGACTGGCAGGTCTACTTCGCTGAGGAACCAGAGCCTGAGACCGAGACTGGAAGCTGCCCGGCCAACATGAGTATGTGGGCCTGGGGCCTCCCTGCCAAATCCCCCTCCAGGCCCTTTCTCTCAGTGCAGGGAAACACCAGCCCTGGGTGGGACAGACCTACTTAGAATCAATTTCTGGTTCCCAGTCACTCTTACAGCAGGCCACTCAGCCTCTTTGCATCTTTTCCTTGTCTCTCACGGGGCAACACCTCCCTCCCCGGAGAGAGGAAAGCCGTGAAGATGAGGCCAACCCCACCTCTTTCCTCTCCCTGACAGGCCAACCCGCCGGCTGTTGACAGGTGGCTTTGGGCTGACTGCAAGATGCCACAAACACAACGAGGCAATTCCTGCTTCACCGCCACTGCCCTGCCCAGACCCCCACCCATGCTGGACTCCAGGCTCTGAGGCAGACCCAACGGCCCAGGAGGGTTCCGGGAAGGAACCTGCGGAGGACCGGCAACTGCCCCTGTGCCCCGCCCTGCTGACCACTAGCCCCTGCAGGACAGGGAGACAAGGCCTAAGAATGCTCCCACCACCGAGCTCTGCTCTCTGCCGTGGGCGCCGACCCCCAGCACTTCCGAGCCCTCTGATCAAGTATCACCACAAAGCCAAGTGTTTCAAAAATTTCTTTTTTTTTTTGGGGGGGGGGAGCAATTTTCCTTTTTTTGAAACTTAAATAAATTGTTACAAAATAGACTTTAGAAAATAAGTTACAAATTATAGCAAAAGGCTCCCCTTCCATAGGCAACATCCTACCCATCGCTGACTGCTTCTCCCTGGGGTTGGAATCTGGCCGGCAGGGCCTGCCCAGGACCTCGGCGGAGCTGGACACCCAGCTTCCTGCAGGGCAGGTCATAGGGCAGAGCACGGTGACAAAGGCTGGGGGAGGGAGGTTCGAGGGCAGGGACATGAGGACACCCCACTCCCTCCTTGGGAAAAGAAGCCAGAGCTGGGTCTACTTTGCAGGGGGAGGGGAGCTAAGCAGTCTGGATGCCCAAACCGCTCCTGAGTGAAACACGGGAGACCGAATCCTTCCCTCCCCCGCCTCCCCCCACCCCCCCAATATTCTGATCTTTGGAGTCTCGGAGTTCAGAGGGAGAAGCTGAGGTCTGCAGGCCACTGGGGTGAAGGGTCCAGGAGTGGAGCTGGGGTAGGTGGAGGGGGCAACGACGAGGCCCCTCTGTCCGCCGCTGGAGCCCCTGGGGAGAAGGGAGAGAGAGAGGTCACTGACCGAGAGCACAGACCACACATACTATGGTAATCGTCCAAGCCTGAAAGCCATTCCGTGGTCTGGGAAACTTGAAACCACCAACCGTTTCCCCAGACCTGGCTAAGTGGCTCTTTCCCTTAAGTCACAAGCAATCTTTTCTTCTGAACGCCATCCCTTCAACTCTCAGGAGAATCTCACCCGCCATCCCCACCTCATCCCCACCTTCCCTGACAATCTCCGGGCAAGAGCCCACCATCTCAAGAACACCCACCCCAGAATGCCACTAAATGTAATGGGTCCTGGGAGAAGGGCCACAAATCTCTAGAAGGGGAGAGGTGGCAGGATGGCTGAGGAAACAGGCTGCCCCCCTCAACTGCAACTTCAAGTGAAGCCAGAGTCTCCACCTGGGCTGGGTGGGGGCCATCTTACAAGCAAATCACCCTCTTGATAGAAGACGAGATAGGGGCTAATGACTGTGGTTGCCTCAGCTAAGGTGAGCTTCAAAGAAACAATTATCTGTGACTCAGGCCTCTGGTCAAAGGTGTGCTTGGGGCTGGGAGTGGGGAGGCACGCAGGTGGAAAGGGTGGTTTGGTTGGATCCTAAAAAGGAGATTCAGGGAGAGCAAAAGGAGTTGAATAAAAGGGAAGAAGAGCTGTGGGTAAACAAGGACAGAGGAAGGCGCAGAGACGAGATGCAGAAAAAGGGGAACAGGGAGTCGGAGTGCCAACCAGTGACCCAGTTCCTGTGGCCAAGTCAGCAAAGCAGCTGTGAAGCAATCCAGTGTGGAGGTGCCCCCCACGCCCCATTCCTCACTCCCTGGCTCCTTGCCTACTCTGGTATAGGAAGGAACAGAATGGGGACCCAACCAGTGGCTTCATCTTTTCCTCTGGGAATTACTACAGGCTAAATCTGGAGTCAGGTGGTCCCCAGCCGGCCCCTCTCCTAAAACAAAGACCGCTCCTCTCTGGCTACGGCACAGCAGAGAAGCCCAGACAGCTGTCTGACAACTACCTCCACAGCGTGCCCTCCTTTTACCTGTCAGTTCAGATCTCAGCCCTTCAACAGGCAGCATCCTCAAACTAGTTCTTCCTCCACAGCCAAAGCCACTGCCCGCCTCTCTGAATCCATGTGACCCTCTCCTCTCGTTCCTTGCTCCCCCACCCGTCTCGGGGGCCTGATCTGGTCCTCTGCTGTATGCCCACCTCCTTCAAGGACCCTCCAGTCAATGCTCTGCTCCAGCCCATTCATGCCCCCATACCAGAGCCTGCCACTGTCCATTCCTCCTGGTGCTGCGGCTGGTGCTGCAGGAAGCTGATTTGGTGGCGGAAGTGGCGGGGACAATGGGGGCAGGTGAAGGGCCCCTCCCGGGGTGCATGGACCCGCCCATGGCCCTCTAGCCAGGCAGCTGTCTGGAAAGCCTTGCCACAGACGCTGCAGCAGTGGCGCTTGGGGTCCGTGTGGGTCCTGGCATGGTTCTTGAGGGACAGCAGGTTGGGCAGAAGTTTGGGGCAGAGGGAGCAGGGATAGAGTCCAGTGGCGTGGGCCTTCTGGTGGTTCAGCAGGCTACCAGCACGGTGGTAGAACGCTCACACTGGGCACAGCAGAGGGCCGCTCCTCGTCTTCAGCCACCGTGGGTTTAACTCCTCGCCCTCTACTAGCTCTCCCAACATTCTCTCCTGGAGCTCTGATGGGTTCTGATGGGGTCTCCTGGGCTCTCCCTTGACCACGGAGACCCAATTGGTCCTCTGTAGTCCCAGCTCTGGGATCCCTGGCCTCCTGTCTGGAGTGGCACCTGACTGAGGCCCCTGGCATGACTTTGCAGGTGGCTGGCTAGTTCCCGGTGGGACTGAAAGGCCTGGCCACAATCAGGGCAGGCAAAAGTCTGAGCAGCTACGTGGTCGTGGTTATGGCTCTTGGTGGCCACAGGGTTCAAGAATTCCATGGAGCAGAGCGGACAGCAGTGGCCAGCTGGCTGGGGGGTGCTGCCACCTGACTGGCAGTAGGTCTTGCCGCATTGGCAACAGGAAAAGGGACAGCTCTCTGGCTGAAGCTGAGAGCTGCTGTCTCCATTGTCCCAGCTATCTCCATGACTCATACTAAGTCTACTGGGCTGGCTGTTGCCAAGGTGGCAAGGGCCGGGGAAACTACAGCCTGACTCATCTTTTGGACTGGTCAGTACCTGACCCTGAGGAACCCAACCTTCGTTGTGATTCACTGGTCCCCTGTCTCCTTGACACCCATCTGCCTTCCCCATGTTCCCCCCCCCAGAGAGTGGCTCTGAGACTTCTGCACCTGCTGCCCTGACGGGGCTCTGACCATGCTCACCTGGCCTCATGGCGCCATCCTCCAGCGGAAGTACTGTCTCATTACCACATGATCTGCCCTCGAGTCCTCGGGCATCAGCCAGGTTCCCCTCACTTCCCTGGGTGCCATTTGGGCCTCCCTGGCCACTGGCCAGCTCGCTTTTGGTTTCTTCCTCATGCTCCCGCAGGTGCCGTTCCAAAGAGCCCCGGCCAGGGAAGCCCCGGCCACAGAGGGCACAGCGCACGGCTGCTCGTCGGGACCGCCCTGCCCGCCGCCGCCGGCTCTCTGAATGCAGCCTCTGGTGGTCCTTCAGCGCCATGCGGTTGGAGTAGGTCTTGGGGCAGGTGGGGCAGCTGTACTGGCCCGTCTCGTGGCTGCGCCGGTGATTCAGGAGGCTCCCAGCATGGCGATAGCTCCGCCCACACTGCCCACAACGGAAGGGCCGATCTTCCCGAGTCAGCTTTCGGGAGCCCCCACCCCCATGCCGCTCAACATGGACTCGCTGGTGGCTGGCCAGCTGTTTCCGCAGTCGGAAGGCCTTCCCACACTCACCACAGCGGAAACGCCGGGGATCTGCATGGATCCGCCGATGGTTCTTGAGAGACATGAGGTTGGAGAAGCCCTTGGAGCAAGCCTGGCAGCCGAAATGGCCGGTCTGATGGCTCTGCCGGTGATTGATGAGGCTGCCCGCGTGCTTGTATGACCGGCCGCACACCTCGCAGCTGAAGGGCCGCTCAGAGCTGGCTTCAGTCTGGCAGCCCTTCTCTGCGGTCTCCAACCTTGGCTCCATCTCCTCCCCCTTCACAGTGGTCTCCTCCCAGACCTCCTCTTTCACCCTTGCCACCTCCTCCGGGGGCTCCACTTTAAGGTCTTCCTGGAGCTTCTCCACTTCTGCCTGCCCCAGGCCTTCCTCTGCCAGGTTCTGGGGCTCACAGCTGCCTTCCGTTTCGGAGATGGGCCCAACTTGGGGCTCAGAGCCTTTGCAGCGGGGGTGGTTTCGTAGGTGATTACGGTAGGCAGCCAGGTTGGGGTAACAGCGGGAACAGACAGGGCAGATGAAGTCTCCAGTCTGGTGGATCTTGCGGTGGTTCACCAGGCTGCCCCCATGGCGATAGGTCTTGCCGCACTGGTTGCAGCGGAAAGGGCGGGGCTGGGCCTCCAGGGAACTTTCACCACCCTGCATGCAAAGGCTGTCTGCAACTGTGGCACCTACTCCCTCTCCAGACTTCATGTCTGCACCCTCCCCAGAGACTAAGGTCACTGTGCCCTCACAGACACTATCTGTAACCATCTCTGTGCCATTACCTGTCTCTCCCAAGTGGCTGGGTGCCTTGTCTATGGTGTTCCCAAATGCACCACCCAGACTTTGGTGGTGACGCTCCAGGCTCCCCAGGTCGTCATAGGTCTGACCACAGCAGCCACAGATGTGCCCATAACCTGCTCCATCCAGTGCCTCCACCTCCCGCTGCAACTGATTCAGCAGCTCAGCTTCTGAGAGCTGCAACGGAGGGCTCTGGGTAGAGGCTGCCTCTGCTGTTCCTTCCTCCTCCCCTTCCTCCTCTGAGCCCTCAATCACTCCAGAGTAGTGAGCCTGGCGCCGGTGAAGCCTGTAGCCAGCCCGCCCTGGGAAGATCATGCCACAGAGGCAGCAGAGGAAAGGCTGTGCTGAGCTCACCTCCCCAGGCCCATGGTTCCGGAAGTGGCTGCGCAGGGCAGGCAGGGAGTCAAACTCCTTTGGGCAGAGGGAGCACTGATAGATGCCTGGTGGATGGCAGGGCCTGTGGCTCAGCAGGCCGGTGGCATGAGGGAAAGAATGCCCACAGTCAGAACATGTATGGGAGGCCTCAGCCTGCCAGCCAGTGACTGCTTCGGCAGAGCAGGAAGAGGGCTTGGGCAGGTCTGTGGCTGGTTTCTGGTCTTCATTCACCTCAGTGAGGCTGTCACAGAAGCGTGCCCCACTGCCTTCTTCATCTCCTGGGATGCCCAAGTTCTCAAGAAAACAGTTCTTTCTTTCCAGTCCTTCCTCATTGCCTCGGGTCTCTTTATCACCATGGAAACAGGCCTCGTCCCGCTCAAGCCCACATTTGTCCCCCTCAGATTCAGCCTGCAAACAGTCCCCGTCACTATCCAAGTTGTCTTCAGCCCCACTCGGACTTTCTTCTGAAAGGTCTTGGGGAAACTCTGGGCTCTCACCATCCTCCTGGGCCCAGTCCTCTGCTGATGGGAGCTTGGCACCCCCACCCCCACCAGCACTGCCAGCCCGCCTCCAGTGCCGCCGGCTCCGCCGCCGGCTGTGAAGTCGCAAGTGGTTCTTCATGGCAGCCATGGTGTGGAAGTGCTTGGCACAGGCCCCACAACTGAAGTCCCCCGTCTGGTGGGTCTGCCTGTGGTTGATAAGGCTGCCTGAGTGACGATAGCTCTTTCCACAGTCTTGGCAGGAGAACGCTCGAGGAGGTGATACCCTGGTCTCTGCCCGGTGGTTTTCCCCTTTCTCTCCCCGATGGGTCCAGCAATGATGTTCAAGGCTTTCAGGGTCCTCAAAGAGCAGCCCACAGACACTACAGATCTGTGGTGCTGTCCCACCTGCTGCTGGGGCGTTATCAGTGGCCTCCTCTTCACGCTTACACCCATGTTCCTGATCTTTATGTGGGGGTGCCTCTGCTCCCACCTTGATGTGGCTAGGGGGACCGTTGGTTCCTGGGCCTGCGCTGCGGCGAGCAGCCTTGCAGTGTACCCGCACGTGGTTGCGCAGGGCCATGAGGTTGGAGTACTTGCGAGGACAGAGTGAGCACTGGTACTCTCCTGTCCTGTGAGTATGGCGGTGGTTCACCAGGCTCCCCCGGTGGCGATAGGCTCGACCACACTCATTGCACTTATAGGGGCGATAATCCAGGGTGGCAGGATCTTCTTCTTCTTTTGAGGTGTTCCCACCTGACATCACTGACGACTGTCTACCTTCCCCAGGTCCTGGCCGGGGTCTGTGATGAGCCCTCACATGGTTTTTGAGGGCAGCCACATTGAACAACTGCTTGGAACAGATGGAACATGGGTAGATACCTGTCTGGTGGCTCTTGCGGTGGTTGATGAGGCTCCCAGCATGGCGGTAAGTGCGTCCACATTCCCCACAGCGGAAAGGTCGGTATTCTTCCAGGCTACTGTCCTCTAGCTCCCCAGAGGTGCTGAGCTCCCCAGAGCTGTTTAGCATCTGTGTAGTAGGGAGCTGGTTCCGAATGCTCTCATCTATGTGCCCATTGGTGGTTGGTATCCCCTTCCCTTCCCACAGCCCCTCCTGCTTTTCACCCTCATGGGACTGCTGGTGTTCCAGCAGCTCCCGAGGGAGCCGGAAGGCACGGGGGCAGTGGGGACACCTGTAAGGCCGATACTGGGCATGGAGCCGGGAGTGGTTCTTCAGAGCCATTAGGTTAGAGAATTCCTTGAAGCAGATGGCGCAAGGGTAGATGCCTAGGGTGTGGCTCTGGCGGTGGTTGGTGAGGCTGCCAGCATGCTTATAGGTCTTGCCACATTGGCTGCACTTGTATCGTCGTTCCTCCTCAGCAGGAGGGGACTGGGTGGGTTCCTGGCTCCCTGTGAAGTTCACAACAGATTCAGCCAAGTACTGCTCCAAATTGCTAAGGAGGCTGCTGGCTGGGGTGGGGAGAGGTGGGGCTCTCGCAGAGTTGGTAGTGGCCCCCCAGCGTTTTGCACTCTCTTCAGGATCTGGCTGGCTTTCCCAGACTTCTCTTTGTCTAGTGGATGGATCCTCCCAAGTGCCTGGAGCTGTCCTGGGGCCAGGCCCAGACCCACAGCCAGGTGTCTCTTCTGTATGTTTTGTCTGGTTTTCCCAGCCTTCCTCTGGGCCAAGCTTCTGGTCCCATGAGTCAGTGGACACCATCTCGCCCTGGAAGCATGGGGTGGCGTCTTTGGGGCGGGGAGGCCTGCGCCTGCGGCGGCCCTCAGGAGCATGAGTCCTCATGTGGCTTTTGAGGGCCATGGGATTGGTGAAGTCCTTGCCACAGGTGGTACAAGGGAAAAGGCCAGTCTCGTGGGTCCGGCGGTGGTTGACCAGGCTCCCTGGGTGACGGTAACCCCGTCCACACTGCTGACACCGGTAGGGCCGGGGTATGCAATCAGACTCCTCAGTGTCCTCGTTGGGAGATGGGTGGAGAAGTTCTCGGTGCCGTACCAGTTCTGGGAGGCTAGGAAAGTGGCGCTGACAATCAGAGCAGCTGAGCGGGGCAGACACGTCCTCCATGGGGCAGCGTAGCAGAAACCTGGAGGTTCAGGAAGAGCAGACAGGTGGCAGCAGCATCTTCCTCTGGCGGAGGAGCCAAGGCCTAGGAAGAAGGAGCAGTGGTCAGAAGGCTGGCCTAAATTACCTTTGTCTCTTGACTCTATGAGCCACAAGTTCACCAGGAACCAAAGAGAAGTTTTCTAAGTATCAATGCCCAGGGACCTACTTTCTACTGGATTTGACTTACGGGCACCATCATTTAAAGTCTTTCTATATATAAACTTCCCAAGTATGGAAGCTCCCCTAGACCTAACTCATTTCCAGAGCTACAGATGAGGAAATTAAAGTTCAGAGGAATGCAAAATACTTCTGTTACCAGACCTTAGAGAAGCCCAATCCTTCTTTCACCTCTCAATTAAAGACAAACGACTAATGATAGTGGCTGTGGGTACTAAAAAAGCAGGCTCTTTCTCTAGCTAACAGCTAGAGACCTGAAAGGTCAGAAGCCCCTTTGGAAGGGCTGACTTGTTCTTCTATATCCCCTATTTCTGTCAGTCTCAAAAGGTCTCCTTCCCAAAAAACTGTCTCTACCATTTCCTTCACCTACTTCCGCTGTACCCAGACGACCTTCCATTGTGGAAATCTTATCTCATTTCCGGTTGCTCTTCAACGCCTACCTCTTCTTTCCCATGGCTCCTCACCCTAGATTCATCATGCCTTCTCATTTTTTCCTCTATTACTTCTCCTAAACATTACTGATGACGACAGCAACTTATGCTGCGCATTAAGTGGCAGGCACCGCACTAAACAAAGTACACTCATTGTCACTTAATCCTCACAACACACTGTAATGCCTCTGTAAACCCAGTTTACACATGAGCAAACGCAATGACTCAGGCAGCCTTCATTCCAAAGCCCTTGCTCGGTCCTCATAGCAGCAACTCGTGCCTCCTCCTACCTCACCTTGGCCTTCTCGGTCTCTGACTCTTCACTTCCATGGGGCCCCATTATCATTCCTGTCTCCGACTCTAAACCCCTCCACCGAACCTCACAAAACCCCTTCGCTAAAGAGTCCCTCCCTCAGTCTATCGCCACCAAGGTTCTCTCCCCTCATTTCCTCTGCCAATATCCTCTCAGGAACCCCACCTCGCACGGACAACCCCTTCTGTTTCCCGCAGCGGGCGCGTCCGTTGGGGACTGCGGGCGGCCGGCAGTGGGACAGCGAACGAGCACGCGCCTGCGCACTGGGACCCTTACCCTAACTGCAGCCGCGCGCCCCAAGGGGTGGCGGAGGGGGGGGGCTCGCGCGCGCCCACGTACGCACTCAGACAGGGCTCCCCTAGAGGTGCGAGGGGAGGAAAAGAAAGTGAGGCAGGAGAGGAGTAAAAAGAGGGTAGAAGGATGAGAACGCAGCTGGTACGATCAAGAGTGTACTCCCGAGCTCCGCGGACACTTCCTATTGTTACTAGGAAACAGGAAGTATCCGAGCCGCAAATGCGTCCCCGCGAAACCTCAGCCTCCGGAACACTTCCTGTCCCGCCTCTAAACAGCCGTCTACGAAGACACACTTCCGGCGTCAGGGATGAAGCAGGCAAACGCGACTTTGGTCCTGCCCACGTAGGTCACGGCGCTGCCGTTTACGCACTAACCTTAGCCACACTTCCGGCAAGTCTCAAAAGTCGTTCCGCTGCATATTAGGTGAACGCTGAAGAGGGGGGAGGGAAGGGTTCTGCAGCTTTGGCTTCAGTACCTTGACGATACGTTTCGCGGGGCTCTCTGGAAGACTGTTCCCAAGACCGATGGGGAAAGCTTCATTAAACTCATTTCTCGCTATTAAAGGAAATGTGGACTATAAGCGGATTTAGGAACTACAAAGCCTTGAGCATGGCCTTTCTGTCCTCCCACCTTCTAGTTTTTGGGGACATTTCTGGAGACCTGGCCCCAAGCTAGAGCAAGAGCCAAGTATATACCATAAACCCGTCCAGCGTTCCTTTCCTTCAGCACCACAAACCCCTAGCAAAGATACTTCCCCGCCACCAGCGGCTGGGGTACTCCCATAAACCTTTTCCTTCCTCCGGAGTCAGTGAAATCTCCCTTCTACTTCCGCTCGCCGGCCCCGCCTTCCCTCCCCCCCCCCCCCCCCGCTGGGTCCTAGTGCCTGCCCCCTCTCTGGCAGAGTCCCGGGTTCAGTCGGTGAGAGGAGCCACCGCTGACGTCGCAGAGCCAATCCAACTCCATTCAGGTAGGAAACACCGGCGGGAAGCCACCGAGTCCGTGGCCAGCTGCAGCGTGGACGGGATCCGAGCTGGCTTCAGTTTCCTTGTAGGCGCCGAGGGAGGACAGGGCCGGCAGGGCGCGGACAAAGCGGGCGGGGCGGGAAGAGAGCGGCCCCGGGCGGGCGCGAGCGGCCGCCGGGCCCAGCGGGTCCTAGAACCCGCCGGCTATCCTCGCGGGCCAGGTGAATGCGGGCGCCGGGACTCGGCCTACGCGCCTGCCCGCTATGGGCAGCGCGGACCCGGGGGTCCTAGAGCCCGCCCTGTTGCGAGCTTTTGTCCCAGTCGCGCGGCAGTCCAGCAAGGTCCCCGGCGTCTACGGCCCCCCTCCCCCGCCGTGTCCCTGGCCGCCCCTCCCGCGGTCCTAGAGAACGCCATTTTGCAAGCCTTTGTCTCGCGCCCGGCCCTCCGTCCATTCATTCCCTCATTCATCGTGGATTCCTTCTTGCCATGTTTTCCGAGGCCACGTTTCCCCAGGGTTTATTCCGAGACGAAACAACCTGGGTCCCTGCCTTGCGAAAGCTGCCTGTCTAGTAGGGTGTGGACACTTGGATGGTTGCAGAAAGCGAGCAGTGCAGGCTTAGATGCAGGACGTCGTTTCTGCAGCTCACGGCCCCTCCGCAGCCCGTCTCATCGGCCTTAATGCCTTGCAAACCCCCACATGCCTCAGAGGCAACATTTTAGTGGCGAGGCACAGAGCGCCGTGGAGCCCCTATCTCCAGTGCCAACTAAGTATCCCTTAGATAATATCAGAAGAGTTTTCTTATGGGAGAAAGCGAGCAAAGACTTCTGAGGCAGAGGAAACTGTGGAGATGCCTGCAGGTGGGGAAGGATGAGGATTGTGGCTGGAGCTTAGATCGCTGGCAGGAGAGAGGGATGCTGCAACTGGAACTGAGGCGGAAAGAATAGGTTGGGATCAAGTGGTAATTGACCCAGTCGGAGGCCTGGGAGGTGATTAGCGCTCACCTCTGTACCTTGCACAGTTCCCTATCTGCCAGCTTACCGTGTCTTTCACAACCTGTTGTGTCTGTGTGGCGACTGCTTGTTTAGAAATCCAGATTGAAGTGCTGGAGGGGCGGCAGGGGTGGGGTGGGGGGAGCTCACCGCTGCTAAGTCGATTTTGACTCATAGTGACCCCTCCTTGGGTTTCCGAGGCAGTATCACTAGGAAGTAGATTGTCCAATCTTTCTTTTGAGGAGTGGCTGGTTTGAATCACCAGCCTTCTGGTTAGCAGTCAAATACCTTAGGCACTAAAAGTGGTTCCTTTCCCACTTGGTCCCTGCCTCAGGGTGCTGGCCCAAGCTCTTTGCATCCCTGGCAGTTGAGAACTGGCTCAGGCAACTTCATTTCCCTCCTAAGCCAGTAGGAAGCACAGATAGAAGGCTCTATCCCACTCTGTCACCAACTCCTTGCACTAGCACTATGGAGGAGGTGATCTTAGGTTAAATGGGGCAGGTTAAACAGCCCTGGATCCAAGGTAGCTGGTGGCGTAGTGCATATGAGTTGAATCTGACTCGACAGCAGGGTTTGGTTGGTTGGTTGGTTGATTGAATCCAAGGTGACCAGAGCTACAGACCTGGGTTTGAATTCCATCTCGAAGACTGACTCCTTCAGTTCTCTTTGGAGCACCCACCCTGCCTCTAGGTGTAGAGGGTACAGCGTAATCCAAGCTCATGATCTTTACCAGCTTGGGCTGTGGTGCTAGAGACAGAGAATTAACAAGCAAACTATAAACGTGTAAGTCCTGACATAGCAATAATCAAACAGCAGAAGTTTCGGGGGGTCGAATAACGACTTTGACTGTGACTGTGAACAAATTATTTCACCTCTTTATGCCTCAGTCCTCATCTGTAAAATGGGAAAAATAATACTGTTTCAGTTAGCAGTGTGAGGTTTAGTTTTGGGAAACCAAAAACCAAGCTCACTGTCATTGAGTCAATTCTGACTCATAGTGACCTCCATAGGGTTTCCAAGGCGTAAGTCTTTACGGAAGTAGATTGCCCCTTCTGCTGGGTGGCTGATGGGTTAGGGTAGCTTGGGTAGTATACACAAAATGCTTAGAATGGAACATGGCCCATGGTAAGCTTGCACAGTGTTACCCAGATAAGCACCATGAAGAAGATACAAAAAAAAAAACCAAAACCCAAACTCACTGCCATCCAGTCAGTCTGACTCCTAGCGATCCCTCCTTGGGTTTCCCAGGTGGTATCACTATGGAAGTAGATTGCCCAGTCTTCTTTCTGAGGAGTGGCTGGTGGGTTTGAACCGCCAGCCTTCTGGTTAGCAGTCAAATAAATGCCCTTGGCACTATGCCACCAGAGCTCCCTAAAGGAGATTAGAGAGTGATGAATGGGAGTGCAGGCAGCATTAAGAAAATGATGTCATCTTGAGATGACAGGGAGCTGAGACCAAGTGAAGTGAGAGAGGCAAAGATCCTGGAGGAAAAGTGGTTCTGGAAGAACCACTAGTGCAAAGGCCCTGAGGTGAGTTAGCCCTTTGAGAAAAAGAAAGGGGGCCTGTGTGGGTGGAGCCTACTGGGACTGGGGGCGGGAAGGGGGCAGGTAGTTAGAGATAATATAGGCAGGGCTTAGATTGGTCCCGTTTGGGGCCTTCTCTTTGTCCTTGGAGTAGTGAGAAGTCTCAGGATTTGCCTAATAAACCTTGAGTGAATGTAGGTCTTTGGCTAGCTCTGTGCCCTTGGACAACTTTTTTTTTCCCTTTGGAGACCTTGGTCTCCAAATCTGTCAG